CTTATACACAGAATTAACCAAAGTAATAGGGCGATATTCCTTTAATGAGGTGGGGTTCGAAACCTTGGGTATCAACGTAATGAAAGTCGAATTCAGTCCTTTTTCAATTTTCTCACAACTACAAAATTTTGCAAATAATTCCGTTGGCTCACCTTTTATTAATGGCCACATCTTCTGATAGAAGTTCGTGTTGTAGCCATCCGGTCCTGTGCCTTTGAGCCTTCACATTCGCTTGCTGCCCTTCATATTTCTTCCATTGAAAATGGATCTTCTAGTGCTTTTGCTTCCTCCGAATTTAACTTCTGGAACTCTAAATTACCAATTTTCAGCGCTATAACAATTTTTAAAATATTCCACAATAACAGTTTTCACTGTTCTCGGCTCCGACATCCATTCACCATTAGTCTCTAATCGCCCTATGTAATTATCTTCAGTTTTAATTTTAGATATAAAGGTTGAATTTATCATTCTACTTATGTTGTTAGTCCAAATTTATCATTAATATTTTAATTGATGCAATTACCATCATACCTTACTTTTGGAGTAAATTTACTATAATACTTCGAATTGTGAACGAAATTTGAATGAAAAATAATAGTTGGAGAATTTTTTCACAATATTCTATTTTGAAAAAACAAATTTGAAAATGACATGATGGAGAAAAGGTTCAATTGTAAAGGCTAGCTGAAAAAGTATGGCCTTTTATTATATTTAGCAAAAAATTACCAAAAAAAAAAAAAGGAAAAGAAATAAAATATAAAATTTACCATTTTATTTAGGATGGTGGACAAATTTTACAACTCGTCTTTAAGTAGATGAAAATTTACCATAATATTTTCTAATTTAATTCAAAAATAGTCATAAGTTATAATATTCTAAAATATATTTTTTATTACCTCATTTAATATTTTGGGTTAAATACAAAAAAAATCCCTATACTAAACAAAAAAAATGAAAAAAAAAATCCCCCAGGGCGAAACTTTATTTATTTATTTTTTACTTTTGTGCATTGATATTTTAATTTTTTTATATTTTAATTTTTTAATTTGATAGGATTTTTTAATATTTCAGATTAATTTTTCATTTTTTTAGATTTTTTAAATTGTTTTGGATTTTTAAAAAATTTTAGATTTTTTAATATCAATTTTTAATTTTTCATATATTTCTTACTTTTTTGGAAAATTTTAAAATTTTGTCATTTTTTTCAATTTTTACAGATTTTTATTGAAAATTTTACTATTTTTTATTTTAAGAATTTTTTTAATTTTGGATTTTTAAAATTTTTAAATTTTCCTTTTTTGAATTTTTTGAAATTTTTAAAAAATTTTAGATTTTTTCAAAATTTTGGGAATTTTTTAAAATTTTCAGATTTTTGGGTATTTTTAGTATTTTATTAATTTTTTTCGAATTTTTTAATTTTCAGAAAATTATTTTGAATTTCTTTGAATTTTTTAAATTTTCATTTTTTTTTTCTAAATTTTCTAAATTTCTTAAAAAATTTTAAATCTTTTTATATTTTTTGAAGTTTTTTTTTTAATATTAATGTGACAATGATGATGTGACGATAACTGAATGTTTTTTTCACGTATTATAATTTTATTGGGTATTAATGTTACGCTAATAATTTGATTAATAGTGTTATTTGAAATAATAAAGTGTATAACGAAATAAAAATTTAAATATCTAATTACGAATTTTGTTTTTTTTTAGTTATCAAACTGACAAAAAATAACTTTCAATAAAATGCGATTCAATCATTTAAATTAAGATTATTATTAAATTATTAAAAATAATTTATATTTGAAAATATATTTTAAAATTAAAATTCAATTAAAAATAATATTTATTAATATAACACAATTTTATGAGCTTGAACCTAAAATATTTCTCGAGGTTTGAGCCAATTCAAGTAAGTTCTCTGGCAAGTAGCTTGACTTCTATACACTTATACTTTTGATAAGTTTTTAATCAAATTAAATTTTTATGGTGATAAAATTACACTAAGTTAAAAAGAAGTTGTAATTTGTAAATATGATTCATTATCTTATAGAGAATGCTTAATTTGGGCCTTATCCTTAAAATAAAATGAAAATTTTAGGTTTTTACTGGTACAAAAGAGAAAGAAGGAAAATTCATTTAGAATAAGCGAAATCGATTTCAACTTTTTCACAAAATTTTGTATATTTAAAATACATAAAGAATGTTATATCAATCAAGAAAAATCTTGACTAATTTTGTTCTAAAATTTCAATTATAATGATAGAATTACTACAATCTAAAATTAATAGTAAATTTAAACCAAATACATAAATAGAATGATAAATGTATACCTTTATCTCGTATATGGTCGTTGTTTATCTTTTTGTTTTCAAACATAGCATTTATCTTTATCATGTAATAGTATGTACTATAAACAAGACCTACTAATTGTATGAAATTATAAACATATAAATTATATTAACCTTACTCAACAATAAATATTTATAAGACCCTCTTAATCTTTTCTAGTTTTATGGAATATTATTAACCCAAATAAACACATATCTTTTTACACTTATACATTATATCTATGTGGATCTTCTCAATCTCCTTTAGTCCATTCATATGTACTATACTTATGTGAACACTTTCAATATCTTCTAGTTCACTCACAAACATAACATTCTTACACACACATAAGACGTAAATCTCTAGTAATCTTATAGAGTGTCTATCCCATAAAACTTTACAAGTCTCTTACATTTTTTTCTTATACCTAACTTTATAGAGACTTCATTATTTTTAAGCATATTAATTTATCTATCAAGAATAATTTTTTTCTTAAAATTCTTCTTCTGTAAGTTTTCTTATCAATTAAGTAATATCTAACAAATTCTAAACAAATCTCTTATGGGATTTGAGTCACTATTTTCAACAATCTTTATCTTGACTCAAATTTCATCAAATCTTTTGTCTTCATACTAGACATGCTTGATTCCACATACAATGGAAGTCTCGTGACAATCTTCTTTATGTGTCGATTTATTAAAAGCATGAACTTGAACTTTATACTTGAATCAAGCTTCTTTGAGTTTGCTTTGTTTCATATCTCGAACTTTTAGCTTTTCTTACATCTTGAACCTTCAACTTGGATATCATTTGTTAAGCAAATAGTCTCAATCTAATTTATGTCAGCAGAAGTATAATTAAATAATCAATCAATTATATAAGGGATAATAATTTAACGTGATTTGATTCAATCGATCTACATCTACGAATGAGAAATAAGATTCACTAATTGTAAATAATTACAAATATATAAATTATATCAATCTCACTCAACAATCAATACTCATAAGACTTTCTCAATCTTTTAGAATCTTATAGAATATTCTTAACCCAAACAAACAAATACCCATATATACTCATATATTATACTTATATCGACTCTCTTAGTCTCATTTAGTTCACTCATATGCACCATATTTATATAGACCATTTTAGTCTTCTTTAATCCACTCACAAACATAATATTCATACACACCCATAAGATATAAATTTTTAATAATCTTATCAAATGTCTATTCCATAAAATCTTGTAAGTCTCTTATATTTTTTTTCTCATACTTAACTCTATAAAAATTTTATCTATTTATAAATATGTTAACTTGCCTAATAAAAATTTTTTTTTCTCTTAAAATTTTTCTTATGTGATTATTTTTGTCCATCAAATAATTTTTAACTAAATTTAAACAAATTTCTTATGAAATTTGAGTTATTATTCTCAATAATATCAATATCAACAAAAGAGTCTCATTTGTCATATTTTACTATAATAATTTGTGCTATTGGTCTCCTTTGCTATCATTATGTCCCACGACTTACATTGGAACTTGGTTGTATATGCTTTTACCTAAGATTACACTCAATTATCTTGTGGCTTGGTTGAAGAGTCTATTCCACCCACATGTAGCCTTTTCTTTGTTTCTTTATTTGTACCGGCGCTCTAACCTTGCTCAGAGAGTTAAACGTCATGCACGTAACCTTCTATTCTGTTGCGGACAGGGAAAAGGCTCGCTTCTTGCGTCCCTCCGATCCATATGGCCTTTGGATTTACATGAATATGCCCAACTTTGACTCATGCTTTGACATTTGCGGGCCTTCACTTCTCTGTCAATAAGTCTTGTTGTTAGTGTTTTGCTCTCTTAAAACTTAAGGTGTCAATTGCCAAGGTTTAGACCGGATTTAAGCAATGTTACTTTGCATGTGTCATTTAGAGATTAAAAAAGTTGGAATTTTTTAGAGTTCAAATTATTTTGAATTTGAATTATCAAATTTTTTAGAGTTCAAATTATTTTGAATTTGAATTATCTTAAATTTGAATAATTTTAATTTTAAATCTTCTACTTTAACAATTAAATCATTTGAATTCCCATCATTTAAAGTTTAAATCATTAAATTTAAAATAAAACAAACTCAACTTTAAATTATTTTTTATTAATCTTTAGTTGTTTTAATTTGAAATATTTTAAATTCGAATTAAATAATCAAGTTCAAATGAAGTGAGATTTTAGAATTTGAGTCAAAATTTTTAAGTTTACTTAAATTATTCATATTGCCATTAAAAGTGCAATTGATGGAAGTGGCAAAATTTAATTGTCAAAACAATAGTAAAAAAGATAAAAATTGCAATTAAAAATGGAAAGAGGAATGTATTACTTTGAATTATAATTGTAATCGCCATTAATTTTCCATAGCAATGGCGAGTTGTTTAATCATCCTTTTTGTTTTCATTTTTTGAAGTTGTAACCCTTCAACCGAAGCTGTAAAATTAATTATTGATATATATATATATATATAATGTAAATTCATTAATGGAAAAACTCTGTTACTAGTGGTTGCGGGGGAGACAAATTTGAATAGTAGGAACAGTTGTTGAATGGATCGATGCGGAGCTAGATTCGTACTAAAGTAGCAAACACGCTTAGACAAAAAAATCTCCTTAAGGGACAACAAATCATTCCATATTTTCTCTCTCTCTCTCTTGGTCTCTTGTATTCCGAGCAGCTGTAGAAACTAACATAAAAAAGTCCTTATTCGATCTTCAACTGTTGACTTGAGATGCAAACACAACAACAAGAAAACACAATGTTACATATAACCATGAGATGGGAAGCCTCGGAAAAGAGCAATCGATTTGGCCGTAAGGTTCGTGAAATTTTCCTGTGTGAGTCTTAAGCCAAGAAATCAACAAGGGGATCGAGGTGAACACTTACTTGTAATTGATATCTGAATATATAAATAAATATATTGTACAGGAGAAGTGGGGGGTGATTTTTAGGCAGAATAGGGCAGTGTGTGTAGGTTTAGGTATGAAGATGTAGAGAAAGTTTGCCGTTCAAGGCCAAATCAAACCCTACCTCTTTTAACTTTTGCTGGTCAGATACTCAAAAACTGGCTTCTGGTTATGGCTTCTCCTTCGCATTCTAAGAAAACTTGTAAGGATAATTACAAACGCTCAACGTCAGAAGATCAGCCAGCTAAAGATAAAGACTGGCTTGAGTTAGGGTTAGGGTTTAGAATTGCATGCAGGAAACAAGAAGAAGATCAGGAACATCAACCCAACCCTACCATTTCAGTTCCAGTTGCAGCCTCTGCGTCTTCACTGCTCCAAGCTAAGCAGAAGCCACCTGGTTGTAGTAGTGCAGGGTTGCAGCTAGGGCTAAGTCTAGGAATAGAATTAGAGTCTAGGGTGCCAGGCTTGGAGTTGGATCGTGATAAAAGTGAAGATCACGAGCCTGGCGCGATGAGGGTGATAGACATGGTGCCGCCTGGTAATCATGATCAGAGCTTGTGGCAAAATCAAGATGAAGATCATTATGACGATGATGATGATGATTATGGTGATATGGCGTGGTGGCCGTGCGACATGAAATCTGGTAGCTTTCTTGGCTTGGATGACTGGCAAATGCCGGTTCCCAATAATTCCCATGATTGCTTCACAAGAACCAGGCCCCATTCTGGCTTGTGGTTTACCCTTCAGGCTTATACCAACCGGTGAGCAATTTTTCAATCTAACCATCATTAACACTCAACGCACGCTCTGTCTTTCACATGCTCCAAATTTGCTTATTCAGTCATCAATATTCAGTTTTCGTCATCTGTATCCATCATTAACCTCATTTTCTTTTCTCTTACTTCATCTATTCTAATCTTTTTCACAGATTTTCCTTTTCTTTTCTCTTTCTAGTTAGTAGTACCAATTTCTATTGCTTTCATCTCTTTCTAGTTTTGGGCGTCCCTATAGATACATTAATTTTCTTTGTTTAGGTAGTGAGTTAGTTTCTAGCTGCAAAGAACACATCGTTTGATTAATGCCATGAACAGAAAAAAAAGAAAACAATCCTTGAACAATTCCATGATGATCCCTTTGGAAGAAATTCATATATGTCATGATTTACATTCATAATTCTTAATCTTCCGCACGTATTAATCTATATATTACTATGTAGCAGGGACGGAGAAGCGCTGCCTCAAATACCAAAGGCGTACATTAGAGTGAAGTAAGTGGTGCACGTTAGCATACATGGTTGATCATATCACTGTCTTGCTTTTCCTATCTTTCTACCAGCTAATGATGGCGTTCAGTGCAATGAGTGAGAAAAAGCTGACGTTGCTTTTTCTTTTGGGTTTTGTTTTCTTTTTCTTTTTCTTTGACAAAATGAAAACAACAAAAAGGGACGAGAACGTGACTATTTTCATGGTTAAAAAGTACCTGGTTGCAAAGCTTGGTCTCTCCAACGAAGCTGAGGTAAATAATCGCTCCTACTTTTTTTTTTTTAATATATATTTCTCCATTTCCATTATTTTCCGACAACAATGAAATTAGCATGCAATGCATGAAAGTGATTGTTGTTTGGTTGAAGTGATATGCTGCTCTCTCCTTAACGTGGGACATGTTATAAGCGGAGAGTAATAATAGCAACTCACATGGCAGATCTCAGATCTACTCTTTGCCCTTCGAATTTGATCAGTTAGGGTTTTGGTATAGGCCTTTCAATGACCTGAGTTTGCTATTTCTGACATTATGTCTTCGTCTTCGACTATATAATATAGTATATTAAACTAGCATAATGTAAAAATCGTAAAACAAAAATTATGATGGCTCTTGAGGATGTAGATTGACACAACACATCAAAAACCCAAACCAACCTCTTTTTAAAATCGATATTGGTTTAATTAATTTTGTAGGAGTCCAGCAATAATTTTGTTCAGAATAAGCAGGATAGTAATTAACAGTTTCTCCTTTTTTTAAAACAAAAAGTGAAAGTGAAGGAAGATCCTTTAACCTTTTCAGTTTATCTGCAGAGAGTAGAAAAAGATCATGAGATTCCCACTCAAGGTGACCCATCCATTAAATTGCATGTTCTTTTTTGGGCAATTATATGTATATATGCCCTGCCTGCCCGTATGCCCTGTATCCTCTCTATCACTTGCAATGAAGATTTCTATAATCCTTGACGCGTCTTTCATTTTGCTATAATTCACTCTGCGTGATTTATCTCTCAATAAGGATAGGTCCAGAATACTATAATATATATTAAAATAAGTAGTGAGCCAACTGCTACACTCAAATCCAGACTCCGACCAACGCCTTGACCTTGACCGCCTTTGTACGTAGCTGGCCACAGTCTGTCTGTCGGTGCCGGAAACCTAAAAGACCTCTTTTCAACTCTGCTTGTTCTACCCCTTCCTTGTGGAATTTAGATTTCAATAATCCTAGACGCGTCTTCCACTTGCTATGATTGACTTTGCGTGATTTGTGTCTCAATAAGGTTAGGTCCACAATACCATAATATATATATATATATATATATATAAACACGCACATATATATATACATATTATTGATCCTTTCAACCATTGTGAATTGAATATTCTTCCAATATTTACCTCATCTTTATTCCCTAATTTCCTCATAATAATCTAGTGGGTAGTGGCTACGTACTGGCCTCAGCGAAGAAATAACTCTTCTTTTTCAGAACTAGCAAGATTACTACTCGTAGTCTTTTAACACATGCAAAATAAGACGAGGTAAAAGGATTAAAGGAGTCATAGTCTTTCGTGTTTTATTTTCTTTAGTCTTTCGTGTTTTATTTTCTTTGTTTGGTTTTGGCCTTTCGCATCTTTTTTTACTAGTCGTATGCTCGTTTGGGCCTACAAGAGTTAAGGTGCATTTTGTTAGTTGGTTGTGTATCATCTTTGCTATTATAAAATCTCTCTGCATAATTGGTGTCACGAGTTTAATAATATTAATTTAGTTGAAAATTTGACAAAAAAAAAACCAATTAAAAATTAAAAGTATATGAAGGAATAATTGTATAATAAAATTTTAATTTTCCTTGAAAATAGAGAAGGAATTCAAATTTTAAAACTCACTTCTTATTTCTTCTTTATTTTAAAAACTGGACGATAGTTATTACATTTTTTCTCTCTATTACATTTTAAGATAATTATAATTTTTTCCTTGTATTCTTTTAAATATATAGAAATAATCAGTCTTTTTTATTATTTCACTCACATAATGGATGCATGTAGGAATGGTAAAAGTAAAAAGGTTTTGCTCGTTAATTATAAATGCTCTTTAATCATAAAGGACGATAACAAGTAATTTATAGAAATATTTTTGCTTTATATATAGTAATTGAAAATTAATTTATGGTTTTCAACATATTAGATGAAAATGTTACTTTATATAGTAATTTTAAAGAGTATTTTTAGAGAACTCTTTAGGCAAAATTTAAGCAAATTTATGCTTCAATTACTCGGGATAATCAGGAGGGTTGAATTTCATTTTAGTCCATTATTTTTTCTTGATTTAGAGTTGGTTTAATATTTTAGCTTAAGGAAATTGCAAATGGCAGGCATAATTAAGGATAAAATATCAGATTTTTTTACTTCGTTCTAGGCTTTTTTTTTTTTTTTTTTTTAACTCTGATCAGAAATAAGGGATACAGTGATAAGAGAAAAAAAAATGCAAGTTTGCCTCCATTTGGTCATTTGGCACATTTAGGAGAGATGCCAAATGCCTAATTTTTATTTATGTATATATTAATATAATATTAGGAGGGAAAGGAGAATGGAGAGGGAGAGAGAGAAAAGCGCTGGAGCATAAACTTTATTTGGATTATTTACGCGAAAATTTTACATTATAGGTCTTTTATTCTAATAAACTTTATTTAAAAATAAAAAAAAAATTGTGTTAGAGATCATATGGTATGAAAAGGAAAGGATAACTACTTTATATACATATTACATATGTGCTTATGGAATAATGATATTGCGTTGGAATTACAAAAATTAGAGTGATTTATTTTTTTTTTTCTAATCACGTAGTAGAAGTAAATAGTAAAAATTCTCAAAAACACTACACAAAAATTAATCTTATTAATCTTACAATTTATCCACTAATAATTTTAATGGAGTCCAAAGTACAGTCATACAATTTTTTTATTCGTTTCAATTGGATTTAACAGTCATTCTAATTTGTGCCACATTTAAAGCTCTACATAAAGTCATGCTTAATCTCTTTTATACAAATTCTAAAACCCTAAAATTCTAAACGGGGTAAGTAATACCGTAGTAGGATTAAAAGCTCACCAACGCTAAAAAGGAACAGCTTTTAAAATAATAGCTATCTTTCTTTCTTGATATCTCAAATCTCTTCTAATGAAGTTTTTTCAGTATTATTTTCAACCGCATCAAGCAAATTACAATCTTTCAAATATTTTTTAATTTAAGTGTACCAAATCTTATAATTATAAAAAATCGCTTTTTTAAATCTATTATTTTCTTCCATTGTGAATTGATTTTTTTTTTAATAGCAAAGCTTTTCATCAACAGGCAAGTGAGATACAACAACAAGCGTGTAATAGCAAACAATAAATTGCTAAACCTAAAGAAAACGATAATTCAAAGATATAATAAAATATGATTAAAGGGCATAAAATCTCTTGAATTATAATTAAAAATTGAACTAAGCTCTAATTTTTTATTGCAACCAATCAACTTTTCAAATATATATTTGTATCTAATTAAATTTTTATTTGGATGAAAAAATTAATATTGTTAATTTTTTCAATTAAAATAAAATTTTATATGATATTAATAAAATAAATAAAAATTTATTATGTTGTGTAATTAATATATGTGATTAGATTTTTTAAAATTTTTTATCTATTTTTACTTTCTCTTTCACGTCCTTTCTAGGATCCTTTAAGGGTTTAAATGGTTATAGTTTGGGGATTGCTTGATTTAATTTTTTTATATAATTAGATTTTATCTAATTAAGGGTTTTATTGAGTTGAAACAGAAGATTAAAAACTTGATTAATAATAATAAAATGTTAAGGATTTAAATGATTATTGAATTATAATTCAAGGATAATTTTTATTCTTTAGTTATAAAACATCTAATTGTACCACTCTAGAAGGTTTTGAGTTCTATTCACCTCTGATTTGGCGACCATCTGTAAAATCATTCGCCTCCCATGAAATATGTAGAACTTTTTTCAGCCAAAATATATTTCATTAATAGATAAAAAAAAAAAAAAAAAAGCAAGCATGGTCATCTCGCAATATGGAGAATTAGCTAATTTCTTAGGTTTTTTCAAGGTTTTCTTATGTAAATTGTGTTTTTTCAACTTCCAAATAGTATTCTGGGATGATTTGACCCAAGTGACCGCTTTTAAAAAGTCACTTTCGATAATCAGTGTACGAGAATTTACCCAAGGGAAAGTTATTAAACACCTTTTATTTTCATCAGTCTCGCTCGAATCAACTATTTCCACGTACTTACAGAATTTCACCTTGACAGCCCCTAATTCGTCCCTAAGTACTCCAGTTATGCCCGCGGGACTTGGTTTCCCAACAACCGATCCATCCACGTTAAATGTAAGTGATTCAGATTTGGTTTCAACAAGACTACCTTGTTTTTATCTGGCTTGCATTTTCTAGGAGAAACCATATCTTGAGAAGATCACTGATTGAACTTTTGACTATTGGCCATTTAGCCTTGAACCACCCAACAACCCTCAATTTGATGATATCAAGTAATTGTGATAAATAAAAAGCCTTACCATTGCAAACCATTTCATTTCTACACAGCCAAAGAGACCAAATCATAGCAAAAATGTTGAAGTGCCTTACCTTGTTACATTGTCCCTCAGGTATGGTGAATTGCCAAGCTTGAAAATAGTCATAGGGTCCTTTAGTGCAGTCCAAGAAATTCCCCAACAAAGACGGCATCTTGCCTAGATTCCAAGCAATAAAGAACAAGGGATTGACTGATTTCATCTCCTGTTTACAAAAAACACAGAGCCAAATCCCAACTCATTGCAAGTTCTTTCACTGCTATTCTGCCTTTCAGCACCTGCCAACAAAAAGTTTCCACCTTTGGAGGTGCAAGACCCGCCCAAACAAGTTTCCACAAATCAACGTTCTGAGTGGGGTCGTTTAGAACCATTTTACAGAAGGATTTTGCAGCATAGATTCTGCTAGAGGAACCTTTCCAAATCAAACAATCCTTTATATTGCTGCTTAAGTAATATTCTCGCAACAAGGTGTTGAGATCCTGCCATTGGTGGAGTTCCCAATTGAACAATCTTCTTCTCAGGATGACATCCCAAGTCCAAATGTTGTTCTAATGTCCGTACTCCTTGATTTTGCCACCCTTGTTTACAGCCAGAACAAAGATCTGAGGAAAAATTTTTTTATGAGTCACTCCCGCAATCCATTCATCATACCAAAATCTGCTATTGTTGCCAACTGAACATACATGATCTTTTTTTTGTCCTCTTGTCTTTAATTGGCTTTGCCATAGGAGTAGTATCTGACTTTGATGCCAATATTGAGATCACAAATTTATAAGTGATTCTTTTTTTCTGTCCTTGAGTCAAACAAGAGCTTATTATGAATCAGTCCATAAATAGATTGGGATCCAGGAAATAGGATGAGGCATTAGCATAATCACAAGAAGATTATAGGAAGAAAACATAAACACCATTTACATCACCACCTCTACAACCAAGCCAACAACAACTTATTTCCATCCACCCACATTTTAGCTATTGAGTCGCTGAAGGAAATGTGTAAAGCAGACATTTCCAATTTCTTCTCTAAACTTGTCAATCTCATGAAAAGTCAACCATTCACTCCAAGGTTAGAATTACACATGAAATAGCAATCTTTGAATCAGAGTCAACAATCAACACATGGTTTTTAAACAATAGGAAGTGAAATACTGAAAATTCTCTAAAAACTTAATACAAGAATTAATTTATATTAATTTTGCAATTTTTTAATTATTTTTTAACGGAGTCTATCATACAATCACATTATTTTTTATTTACTTCAACTGGTTTTACAGGTATTCTTTGAGTCACGTTCACAACTTTACAACAAAGCAACACTTGGTCTCTCACAGCCTTTTACTATCTTAGCCCTCATTACAAACTCTAAACCAAATAACATATTTATATTAAAAACTGGTAAAACCCTAAAAGACCCACTAATAAAATAACTGTTAATAAAACACCAACCGTGGTAATAATAAATAATAATTGCCTCAGCTGCTTGGCTTAGTGGTCAAGACAGCTTTAAAGAAGACATCAAGGCTGGGATTCGAATCCCAACATTCTCCCTTCCTCTTAATGTAAGGTTTTGCCCCCCTTGAATGGTCAAAAAAAAAAATAGTTAACTATAAAAATTGGTTTAATTCTAAATATTGGCACATTAGAAATAACGTTCAATCAAGGAGTAACACTGTATGCATTGTAAGAGGTGTAATATTAGGTGCTATATTGTAACTCCATTTCATATTAATAAAACTTTGATTTAGCAAAAAAAAAAAAACTATGAAATCTATAAAATATTATTTTAATAACCTTTATGTTTTAAATTTAAACGAAGTGACACACAATTTACCATTAATAATGTTAACTATGTACCATTAATAATGTATAACATCTATAAATTGTTATGTATTATACATCTATAAATCCTAATTTTAATCAAAACTTTCCTTGTTAAACAGCAGGGAGAAGAAACCATGAGCACTAATTTGAGTTTAAGAAGTGTGCTCAAATACAAAAGAAAGTAGGGAGTTATGCAGCTTTATTCTGAATGCAGGGTAGTGGTTTTGTTTTAGGCTTCAGGAACTTATAATAATATTCTCATGCAAGTGATAAATTTGTGGATGGCAGGTTGAAATATCATGCATGGGACAAAAGTTGTTGCACACACAGACATTGAAACAAGTAAGAGATTGTGTGTGGTTGCCTAGATTTGAGGAATCTGTATCATTCCAGAATTACTCACATCAAAGTAATTGTGTAAATAATCATTTGATGTCTTTACACTATGGAAGGCGATGTGCTTCCAACTAATGTACACGTACACATATTTATGACAACCTTCAAATGCATATAAATTGCTTTAGTTAAAAATCCGCATTTTTAATTAGTTTTCTGTTGTGCAATGATCATATATATGTATATATTGGTCATAATTATCCTTTTTTTTTGCCAATTCTCCTCTAAACGGAATTTGCTAATATAACATACATGCCTGCTTCTCTCGCTTCCGAAACCCTACTGTAAGTGACAATTCATTAACTCTAACTGGAATCAATTTTCGATTTTAGTGACATGACTCCATCACAAGAGTTTTATATATATATCTAACATAATTGATCCTATAATTTTTTTTTTTTAAACATGTCATGTGTCAACTTCATAAATAAGTTATTATTTTATTTTAAAAATTTTTTTAAAATTTTTTTACTGTGAGATTTCATAAATTAGTTTTGGTCTTTCAACTTATAAGTAAAAAATCTACAATTATTCAGAGTATGTTTAAATCAATAAGTATTTAATTTTAACAATTATCGGGTTTTTTTACTTCATTATCACAATTACTGCTATTTCATGAATAGTAACTGAAAAGTTGAATTCATTAAATTAAAAATGATGAAATCTCTTCCTTTATCTATCCATTTTCTGTAAATCTATATAATGTTATTAATTTTCCAAAAGATTTTATAAGCAAACCTTAAAAAAAAATTATCCCATTTTTTATTCTTCAATTTTTATCCGAATTTTTGCTTTCTAAAAATTTTCACCAAACTATAAGTTTTTTCATCATTTTATTTAAACTCTTACGATTTTGTTGATGAATATACTCACTAATTTACAATGTTTTTTTGTAAAATTTATTAGTTAAAAAACTTAACTTACAAATTCGAAAAGTATTAAAAAAATTTGATAATGAATTTGTTAATTTGTACTGTAAAATTCTCCACTCATTTCAATTCTTTTTTGTTTTTGTGATTCATGATAGGTCTCACTTTCATTTTTATAAAACTTAATATTTTACAAGTTAATAAAATAGTTATATATAAATATATATTTTAATATTTTTAAATATTTTTAATTGTTATTATTATTGAACCGTAATAACACACGAGATATTACCTAATATATATATATATATATGTTATTTGGATATAAATTGAGAATTAGCTCTCATAAATTGATCATAAAATAAAAAAAATCGAACTCACAAAATTTTAGAAGTTTTAAACTCTAACCATTGAAGTATCCTCATGAAGACCAACAGTTTAGATCTTGAGCATTTTTAATGATAAAAATTTTATATCATCTGAAATTAGGTTTTCTTTTTTCCTTTAATCATAAGCGGTAATATTATAAAACCTTATTGAAAAAACTTACGAAATAAACTTGCAATAGAACTCATATTAACCTTTGTCCCATATATAACGTTGGGGTTTTGGAATATAACATAAAAGTTTAAGACAATTTTATGTTAAATTTTAAACCGTTATTTATTATATATTTTTTACTATAATGACTTTACGCTTTGGAAAGTGAAAAGAAAAAGTGGGTGGTTAATAATAAACATAATAGAAAAAGAATGATTGATTTTTCTAACTGTCTCAAATTAAACATCAATTTGAAATCTATAAAATACAAAAAACAAAAAATGAATAATTACTTTTGTACCAAAGAAACCAATATACATACATATAACAAAGTCATCGCAAGAAAAATTAGATTAGAGAGTATCGGAAGTGCTATTAGTTTTGTTGAGAGTAGAATACGATCCAATTTTGAAACTTAAATATATATTTTTGAAACTTGGAGGTTTGTGTTTTAAAAAATCGTATTGTTTTTAAACAACAATATAAGAAAAGTGTGTTTTAGTGAGGATTTTAGTGACGATTGTGTGTTGGCCCTCACTAAAACTCGTGTAGTGAGGACCACCACCAAACCTTATAAAAATTATATTTTAAAGGGATGTGTATTTTGACTTTCACTAAACTAAACGTGATTTAAATTGTGAAGATCACATAAAACTTTCACTAATTTCATATGGTTTGTGAGGATCCAAAACTGACCCTCACAATATGTTTTATTCGTATAAAATTTTATTTTAATTATTGTTAAAGGGAGATGTGAAAATAAATATAAATAAATTTAATGAGAGGATATTTGGTGATAATTAAATAAAGTTTTTAATGAATTCCTATGAATATATTTTTTAAAAAATAAATATAAAAATATTTAAATTCATAATGATATTGTGTATGTGATACATGATTTTATTGAAAGTAAAATAAATAAACTTTACTTTCCATAAAACCACTCAGTATGTTGTGTCTTATTCACCTTTTCTTTACCCTTTTCTTTCATTTTATTTGAAAGGACCTGAAGCTCAACAAACTTCAGGCCTGAAAGCCCAAGTTCGTATTCACTTTCTCTACCCCCAGTTGTATCCAAATGAACAAATCCAATTTAGAGACCCAAAGTTCCCCATTCTTGCATAGCACGCCGATCTTCCTCACTCTCTGAGCCCCTCTACTTAGGTTTGGAGACTCTGCCTTTCTTTCAATTTCCTCCTTAATTTCCACATTTTTTCCATTATTTCTGGACCAGTCAAAACGTTGCTACTTTCAAATCATGATTCTTTTTTTTGCAAAAGGGATAAATATTTTCGAGTATTTTGAATCAGAATTTTTTTATCTTTGTTTTTTTGTAGACTTTTTTAAACAAAAAATTTTCTTAAAACTTTTTGAATTCAAAATTTTGCAATTATAATCCAAAGTTGAATTGCAACAAAAAAATTTACGAATCAATCGAGAGTTTTTGATCGATAAGAACTAGAATTTCATCAATAAATCCATAAATTCGAATTTGTTATCATTTAATGTTAATTTCTTGAGCTTGGTTTTGTGCGATATTAACATTTGTTAGCATGAATCTATATTTTGATTTGAATCTATTAGGATGAGGGCTTATTCCATTCTAATCAAAAGTGTGTTGTGTTGTGTTTTTTTTTTTTTTTTTTGCATATATTAAAAGGAAATTAATGAATTATGATAATCAAAGTTTCGTGCAAGTGGCTTATAAAAATGAACTCATTCTGTTAGGGCATTTGGTGGTCAAAAGGGTATAGTAATTTTTTTTCCCTCTTAGAAGCCTTCAATAGACAAACATGGATATTTTTGTTGTTTGTGGTGACCTAACATGTCAAATCAATTTGATATGCTCAGTGCCACATCATTCGACACTATCTTTGTTGTCCCCTTAATGTCTTCTATTGTTTGTCTATAAATATAAAGGTCCAGACACCACTAAAGTAAGTTAATCCTAGGCCCATCTCCTCATTTCTACTTCTTTTTGAACTTTGTCTGACTTGTACATCGGAATGCAAACGCAAGGAACACACCCTGTCTTTACCTCTTATTACCATTTTCTTATATTTTTCTAAGAATGCCCTAAGGTCGGAGCTCAACACAAACATTTGACACTCCAAGTAGGGGCTTTTTTTCACTTATTAGCCAAACACAAAGCAATGCTACCAAGGAAGAAAACCTTAAAGGAAGGAGGGATGATTGTCTTGATTGGAATAGAAACCCATCATAGCCAACATTCCGTCTGACCTACCTAACCACAGGCGGGACGAACCATGAAATAATTACAAGCCTTGACTGAACAAATATAGGCCCTCAAGCAGATGTTACAAACTATACCCCTACCATAAGTTTTAAAAATGCTAACCTAATCACCTCTAACCAAGGAGTTGCTATTGGACAACTGAGTTATAAAGAGGTAAAAGCCTCTTTAGCCTCCAATAAGAGAAGCACACCACCCTTAGTCCACCAATACCCCAGCTATAACTTAACATATGTTACGACCTAAAAATCCAAACAAATAAACCTTGAACCCAACCAAATAAAGATTTAAAAGCTCGAATGCAAGCCATGGAAAAAGGGTTAAAAATAAAAGTAGTAGCCTTTAAGGATGAGCTGAAGTTCCTAGAAACCTCACCATTTACTAAAAAAATTGATAGAGCCATACCTCCCAAAGGATTTAAAATACAAACTTTGAAAACATACGACGATACTTATAATCCTTTTGATCATTTGAAGTTTTATAGGACTAACATAATGATGCAGGATGCAAATGAAGCTTTGACATGTAAAGGCCTAGCTACCACATTGAACGACGTAGCTCAATCTTGGTACAGCAAGTTGGAACTAAGATCAATCATAATATTCAAAAACACAAAGTGATAATTTCTCTCTTAATTACTTCATGTATCTTCATATGCTTCATGTTAAACCTAACCATACTCGACTAGAGCATTCATGATTAGAAGCATAATAATGGTTATTCTAGAAAAAAAAGTGATATTGAGATGAAGACAAGATGATTCAAAGAATTAAGGATAAATAGGAGATAGGTGTAACAAATGTGATTGTTGCTTTTTTTATAGCCTACAAGTGCATAACTCAAGTAATAGATGAAAGTATTCTATTATCGTCTCTTTAGGGATTATAGATTGTAATTGTTAGGTTGCTCTTCAAGTACCAATGGTGAAAGCCTAAAATCTTATATTTAAGCAATTGAAAATTTAAGAGTTGACTGCAAAGTAAAGAAAAGAACAATGTAGACTTGGATCTCACTCAATCAATTGTCACTTGGTAAGCTAGAAACAAGAGTCAAACAAGTTCTTAAAAGAATAAGAGAAAACTTGAGAATAAAAAAAATTGGTATTACTGAATTACTTGTAAAGGCTTGTGCTAGCCTTGAATTGTCCTTATTTGAAATGACAAAACATTAAGCTAAACAAGCTTGATCAAGATTTTGAAAAGGATTTATTTAATACATTCTTAAATTTATATTTTGGTACTAAATAAATAATATATTTTCAAGGTGTAAACAAACCTTTTTTTGTTTTCATATTTCTCAAACCAAATCTATCTTTAAAGTTATTTGAACTTAAATGAAAGTCCAATTGTTGTTTTTAAGTGAACTTATTCATTTGGACTTAATATAATTTTGATAATATTGATTTTGAGAAATAGATTAACTTAAGAAAGTTGTTTTGCAATAATAAAGTTTTTCAACATTGAATTTGTTTTATTTTTTGTATTAATTCACAAAGCTTTAATATTTAAATTTTATATGGTTGGAACACTATTTGAATCTAC